GCAATACTTCTTTCTCAAGACACTTGAACTGACACACCTTTAAACAAATAATTGCACAAAATGTGAGGTTAATGTTTGCATTCCCTACACTCAACGCTGACATAAGCACCCAGAGTTCTGAGACCATTTATGTTTTGTCTACCTTGCATCCTCAATGCCCAGCACATGCCATTATGTAGGATATGAATGAGATGTATTTGCTTATTAAAGGAATTAATAAAAGGAGAATAGTATAAAATCTTCTTCTTTATTTTCTAATGTATTTGTAATGTTATTCCAAAATTACAGTATTTATGTAATAAGTAATATGTTCATTATCTGAACTCTCCATAATATTTCCATGAAGCAATCCAAGTTTTAAGTGATCTGTCTTGCATAAGTTTCTTATTTAAAAGTTACTTTTATTATCTGTTTTGCATAAGAATCTGATTTTAAAAATCAGTATTTGTTTTTCTTTCCAATAGGAAGAAATATATTTAATTCCTGTAGTAATTACTTAGAAGCAGAGTGTAATTTTGCAGCCATCATTCTAAACCAGTATGCTAAACAAACAAAATATATATAACACCTTGTTGTGTGAGTTCATACAAGAAGCAAAAACAAAATGAGCATAACATAATCAGGAAAAGAAGCAGCGGCCACTTATGAATCAGGAAGGTCAGTGCACTACAGTCATTGTCTAAGTCTATTTCCTCATCACCAGGTTTTTTGTTAAAAGCAGTCATTTAAAAAGAAGTCTGCCATTCTTTGTTTTTCTGGCCCAAATCATATATACTCAGGAGTATCTGGCCATGCCTGTGTTGGGTGAACTTGTTAACATGCCCATCCTTCTGGTGTAGCACCGCCAACATTTCATGAAACAAATTTGATGTAAAGGGATTTGAGGTTTCCTGTTAATAACTCCAGAAAGCAAACTGCAGGTGCAGGAGTAAGCGTAGTGATAACATATAGGCATAACATGTTTTCAGATCTCTTCCAAATGGGCCTTGGGCTATGAGTCTGTCTGTGGTTGATGGCCAATGTAGACAGCTGTGTGAGTCACATTCTGCTTGGCTTACACTGGTTCAGGCAAAATGGAAAATTCTGTGAAGTCCTCATATACTGTGTAATTAAAGTACAATTTTTTCCTTTCAAATTTATTTAAACTTTTACCTTCTGAATTTTGAAAGAAAGTATGTAATAGACCTCTACTGTCTCTGAATCATCAACTTGTTAAGAAATCTTAGGATCATAGTTGAAATTAAATTTAGCAAGCACTGTATACCACCTTCAGAGAAGCAAAGATGACCATAATAGTGTTTCCCAAATTATATCTTACATGTTCCACGGTTTTCTTTCCTCATCCAGGTACTTCTCTTATGCCTGCTCAGTTAATTAATGACTTTTTCTATAGAAAGATAGAGCCACTTAACCTACATATTTCTTACTGAGACAGTTTATAAGCAATTATAAATTATCAAATTATTAATATAAATCTGGGTGTAATCACAGGTTATTTTAATTACTGTTCTTTTTGTCTGAATCTTTCTTTGGTTCTTCTATTCTAATTTCTTCTAATATACACTAATTTATATCTGGGTGAAAACATGATGTTTTTAAATAGGTGCCCCTGTGAAACTTTTAGAAAGCACTCAGAAAAAATATTTTGAATGAAAGAATGAAGAAATTATTGAACATATTGAGGTACTTTTTTATCTTTTAAATGTGACTTATATAAATAAATATCTTTGCCTTCAAGAGCATAAGTTTAGTCAACATGTATTTTTAAAACTTGATGTAAACACCAAGAACACAAAAATGGACAGATAGGCAAATATCTTGCACTGATGCAAATCATGTTCCAATGAGGAAAGAATGAATAAACACTGGATTGCTAAAAATAATATAGTAATAATTATAATATGTAACATTTCTATAACATTTATTTTGTGTTGAATATTACCTTAAGTTTCATCTCTCTCGCTCTTTCTCTCTCTCCTCCCCCCCCCATCTTCTTTTATACCTCCCTACAACTGTTTAAGGCAAATGCTCAGGGGTCAGTTTTACACATCTAAAAACTGAGGCACAGGTAAGTTATATAATTTGTCTGAGGTTTTAAGTCCATAAGTCATAAACTTGGGACTTGAATTCACAAAATCTGGTCTGAGGATTCTTAACTTTACCTATTGTCTCTATTCTTAACTTTACCTTATTGTCTATTTAGAGAAGTATCATGAGTCATAAATGGCATAAAGATGAATGAAGCCGGACACAGGCATAGGTTGTTGTAGGAGGAATGGCATGAGAAATACAGTTTTACTTGTTGTAGTGGTTTTCGGCAACTTCTGGCCAGGTATGGTGGCTCATGTCTATAATCCCAGAATTTTGGGAGGCTGAAGCAGGTGAATTGCTTGAGCCCAGGAGTTCAAGACCAGCCTGAATAGCACGGCAATCCTCCATATATACAAAAAATACAAAAAAAAAAAAATAACTGGATGTGTATACCTAGATCCAGCTACTCAGGAGGCAGAGCTGGGAGGACAGCTTGATCCCTGGAGGTCAAGGGTGCAATAAGCCATGATCATGCTACTACACTCTAGCCTGGTTGAGAGTAAGACCCTGTCTCAAAAGAAAAAGGAAAAAAAAAAAAAAAAAGGTCTGCAAATTATTTGATACTTCTTTTTTCAAGAGGGGGAAGTTAATTTCTCTCTCCTCGAGTAAGGGTTGGATTTAGTACTCCATCAAGTAGAATAAAATGAAAGAGAAGGTTTCCTTCCTTGCTACTTCCAAGATTAACTTATAAAGAGCATTGTGACTTCCTTTTCATTCTGTCTTCAACCACTCATTCTGGGAAAAGTCAGCTACTATGTTTTGAAAATACTGAATCACCCCTAGATTGCCCTTTTGACAATCAGAGGCCTCATGAAGTCATCCAGCATTGATTTGCTAGGTTTCTGAGAAAGCCTCCTTAGAATTGAGCCCTTCAGCTCTAGTCGAGCCTTGAGATGACTACCTCCCTGGCTGACAACTTAACTGAAACCTCTGAGTCACAACCATCAAGCTAAGTTACTTTCAGATTCTTTATTCACATAAACTGTGTAAAATAATAAGTATTTATTATTTTAAGCTGCTGAGTTTTGGTGTTTTTAAACAGCAGTAGGAATCAGTTTTCTATTTTAAATAGCTATAGAAAACTAATAGGGCATTCGAGAAAACGCTCTCTTGTGAGATGACATTAGACCAGACATTTATTCAAGTTAAGGTGGAAACAATGAGTATGATTTAAGGAAAAGATTTTAGGCATTGAGAAAAAAAAAAAAAAAAAAACTTATACAAAACCTTGAGCACGTTTGTTATGTTCAGGAAACTGTAAGTTGGCCTATTTGGGTGGAATACAGACAGAGAAGAGAAGAATGGTAGAGGCTAAAGTCAGAAACCAAGGCATCACTTGTGGAGCTTTACATGCTACTGTAGAAGAATCTGGATCTCCCTCTGTCTGTAATATGAATCTGCTAAATGGTTTTGAAGTGGGAGTGACTATGATTTGTTGTGAAAAAGAACACTACAGTTTTTGAGTGGAAAATAGGCCACAGCAGAGCAAGAGTAGAATCATGCAGGTCACTTAGGAAGCTACTTCAATAACCTCGGGGAGATATGATAGTGGCATGGACTAAGGTAGTTCTTCTGGTGGAAGTTGTGGGGAAGAAACAGAGTCAAGATTTGGAGTTACAGAAAATAAGACGTGCTGATACAATGAATGAAGATGTATTATGTGGATCCTTCACCTATCAGTCATTTGAAGGTCCATGATTCCACTGGGAGAAAGCATATTGGAAGGCCCAGATTTAGTACCCTTGACTGGAATGTGCTGACACACGGTTTTCCTTGGGATTACTCAGAGCAGAATTAAAATACAAGGACAAATAAGAGCAAATGCTCATTTCATTTTTATTTTATCTTTTCAAGTATGTTATGTCTTGTGGTGAGATAAATGAAGTCTTCCACTCTGAGTCACACTCTTGTAAAATGTGAAATCAAAAGTGAAGAGAAAGACTGTTAATGGCCTAAAATATCTACCTTGTGTTTTTCCTACAGGAGAAAATAGTGGAATTAGCTTACTCCTCTTTCAAAGTGAGAAACTATGATATCAGCAATGGGACAGCTTTTGGCACCAAGACACACCCTAATTAGTGTGGCGTGGCAGCTGTGTGGGGCGCTGCGCTCAGGAGAGGTGAACTCTTCTCTGGCAGAGTCAGCTCTGCAAATGGACACTGAAGAAGAATACCACGATTATTGCTAAATTTCATAGCTTTTAACAACTATAATTATATGTAATTAATTTTTTTAATAGCCGAAAGCAAACCTTCTAGACCAGAGGGAGTAGTGTAAGGGGAGATGAACACACATGTTGCCTGGGCAAGACTTTTAGAAATTTTTGGAGAGGCTTAAGTAGATTCAAGCAGGAAACATCCAAACACCTGCCATCAGTTTTAGGCAAAAGCTATTAAGTTTTCTTTTTAAAAACAGCACATGGGCCGGGCATGGTGGTTCAAGCCTGTAATCCCAGCACTGCGGGAGGCCGAGGCGGGTGGATCACGAGGTCAAGAGATCGAGACCATCCTAGTCAACATGGTGAAACCCCATCTCTACTAAAAATACAAAAAATTAGCTGGGCATGGTGGTGCGTGCCTGTAATCCCAGCTACTCAGGAGGCTGAGGCAGGAGAATTGCCTGAACCCGGGAGGCGGAGGTTGTGGTGAGCCGAGATCGCGCCATTGCACTCCAGCCTGGGTAACAAG